GATAGTGAAGTATAATTCATCACTCCAGAGAACATGTTTCCACTGCTCCAGAGTCCAGTGGACTTTTATCAACCCTAGTGATCTTAGGCTTGTGAGCAGCTGCTCGGCCATGGAAACCCATTTCATGAAACTGCCAACACACACTTCTTGTGCTGATGTTGCTTCCAGAGGCAGTTTGAAACTCTGTAGTGAGTGATGCAACAGCATAATAATAGCACTTACAGCTGACTGGGGCAGATCTAATAGGGCAAAACTTCACAAAGTGACTTGTGGAAAGGGTGGTATTTATGAAAGTGTTACATTTAAATCACTGTGATCTTCAGTACGACCTGTACTACTGCCAATGTTTGTCAATGGAGATTGCATGGCTATGCGTTTCATTCTATACACCTGTTAGTAAAACTTAAGGAGGAATGTCCACATACTACACTGCAGTAAATGTGAAATGATGACATAGAGCACAATAACGCCAACTTGCAGCCTATACTGAACTCAGGTTTCCCAGCAGGCCTGCATGGTGACATTTTCTGCTATCATCGAGCACACTGTGCCTGCTAGCAAAGACAAAGCAAAGGCTGACTTCCTAATAAGGTCTGAAGGAGCAAAGGCGTAACTTCCAATTCTAATGTAAATTGTTTATGGTAAGCTCAGCATCTTCCACTGGAGCTGTGAAGTGCAGACTCATTCGGAAGCCTCGGAGTAAAAGTGCTACTGAGAGAACTTGTCTTTTTCACTTCTGGCTTCTGTGATTGCACATTCAGTTTGCAATCTATATATTTTTACAAAAAGCATCCTTTGCACTTACTTTTGGTTATTCCTTGTGAAATATGTATGTCTGTTCTGGCACTGAAAATCATTTGGTACTATATCACACTATATGCATCAATGAAGTGAATTCTGTGGAATTCCTGTTCAAATCTTGTTAGCACAAAACACAACTTGAATAGAAGCAGCAGAATGACATTGTAAGCTTGGGTCTGAGATGTTGATGAGTAGGCTACTCTTTGGAAAGTGTTTATGTGTGAACTGAAAGATGCAAAAACAGCTCCACAAGAACCAGAGCGAGTGATGCTGATGCTTTTTTTTCCCTCCCTCCCTCTCTCTCTCTCTCTCTCTCTCGCTCTCTCTCTCTCTGTGTCCAGGTCTTCCAGTGGCCTGCTGCTGACATGACCATATTTGCAGTGTTCGCAAATGCACCCCAAAGGATGATGTATGGTGATCGCACTGCTCTACCTCTCCCCTCCTTTCTCTCTCCCGCTTTCCTCCAGATGCAATTAAGATGAGAATAAAGATGACAAGAGGAGGCGTTTGGTGAAACTGACCATTCACATTTGTTTTTCCTTATACGGTATGTCCACCCTAGGTGTTCTTTGACTCTCTACAGTTGCCAGAAAGTCAAAGAATTTGTTTGACCGATGTTTCAGTCCGGACACACTGTGTTTGCTAACATGTAACATAATCATATTGTTTATGTGAGACTTTCAGAGGCCTTCTTTAAAAAAGAGACTTTATGTTTAGCAGATCAAAGTAGGTCATTCGTTAAGTTAATGTGCTGGTCAGACCACTCTGGCTGTGTGTGCTTCTGGTGGGTTGTCTCAGTATCCAGCAGTAGAGTAATTAGAGAGGGCCTTCTCCACAGCCATGTCTCCCCCTCAAACCACATGCATCCAAAAATAATTGCAATGGAGTGATTTGAAACCATCTTCAACCATTGTCCAACTACATGAGCGTCACACTTTCAGAAAAGAGATTAGGTACCTCTGGCACTCCCTTAGCAAAGCAAAGGCCACAGGCTACAACTCCATATCAGGAGATATACTTTTTAGTCTCAAACCCCTTGTGTTGTTCAGCTCTGTAGGATATTGATGTTAAGGCACAGCATTTTTGTATAATGAGATTACTTTTTTCATTTGTTCAGTAAGTTACCACAGAAAAACTCAGTTTATATAATATGTCCAGTTCCAGTATCTTTACTGATCATCTTGATTGGGCTTAACAAGGCACACATTTATAGATCTGTAATAATGCTTGTGAAACAGCTGATGTATGAATTGAAATTACTAATTAACTAGGAGCTTGTTTTAAGGCAGCCCTTATTCTTCATTAATTAATCTTTTGTATAATTTGCCTAATTATTGTGCAATGATGAATGATTGCTGAATCCTTCTTAAATAAAAAGTATAAAAGATTGTCTACAATCTATAGTTCAGTTGTGAACACTTTGAATAACATAGTGGTGCCCTCTGGTGGAGCATTATACTCACTAAAAAATGCTCAGCATCTTTTACAAAATTTAAAGGGGAATTACGCAGGTTTTTCAAAATTTGTGCGTAACGCAATGGCTACAATGTAAACAAAGTCATTTAGAGTGGTTTGATGTAAACTGCGCTGTTCTAGAGAAAATTTCCAAATTGTTCCCAGGGGTGGTGATGAGTTTAATACCCCCATAAAGCTACATTACAGAAAATAATACATGAAATGGTCATAAATATGTCTCTTAACACATTTTTTTATGATAGGTTTGAAATATAATTTTGGGCTAATTTTTTAATCCATTCATGCCACAGTGGTACATGCAGGTTGTTGTGAGGCAAAATAGTGCCCAAAGAAAACTTATTCAGCACTACTTTAGTCTTATCAACATTATATATAAAAACTCAGAGGACAGTGTAGGTTCACTGGTCATTTTGAATTGTAAATAAAATGGCTATATTTGCATGCTAGTCATTGTGACCCCTGATTCCTGCCACCACCACTGGAAGGAAATCTGTGTCTGTATTTTTCTCTACAATGAATTTCACATCAAAACATTCTGAATGACTTTGTCTCATCCATTGAATTATGTGGCAATTGAAAAAAATCAACAGAATCCCCCCTTTAATATATATCAATATCATGTTATTTTTTACGTCTTCTTTCTATCCTCTAGAATTGCTTCTTTTTTACTTAATAGCAATAGTGAAAAGTACTTAAGGCAATTAAGGGTATTTTTAAGGATTTTGTGCTTTCACATGATGAGATGAGATGGTGAGCCATTTTCCATAATTGAGTAAAATGCAGAATCCCCAGGGATTAACACAATCACTGCTCTACTGCTGTACTGAAACACATCTGATAAAATATCATGACTCTCCAAAAAACACCATGTAATTTTTTGTCAATTGTTTATTTTTTTTATCTCATTTGAACACTGCAGCTGTCCTTTGTATTGTATGAAAATTTCATGATGATTGGGCCAATAGAAATGCCCTAAAATTGACTTGGAATAAAACCTTTTTACATAAACCCACATTAAAATTAAAAAAGTTTTTGCCTTTTCCTGTAAAGCTACTGTTATGGAGATACTTGTTTTTCTTTGGACAGTGATGGCACATAAAAACCATACAAAAAATGTACACGTCCTGTAATTTAACAAATAATTCAGACGTTTGTATGGTGATCCCACATTTATGTTAACCCCTTAAAATCCCAGGCTTATGACATATTAATTATCATTATTATTTAGTAACTAAAGAGAATACAATGCAAACTAGCAGATTTAGGCCCAATCCCATATCACCCCCTGCCCCTACCACTTAGCCCTTACGCTTCTATTTCGCGTGTTCATGCCTAGAGGTAGGGTGTCCTGATTTGTGTTGAGATAGAGGGGATAGAGTGAAGTGTTAGGGGGTTTTTCAGAGGAAAACTCCAAACAGAGTGTTATGAAAAAAAAAGAAAAACTGGCAAGTGAGTATTTTCTCTGTTAAAAAATTACAATAACCATTGTTTTATCATAGTTTTATGTTGTTTCAATGTATTATGCCTTTCTTCATAACAAGCATTGAAAATTGCTAGTAGTATGCTGAAGTCTCGGTAGCTAGCTAGCTAAATGTCCTGTTGCTCCTTAAATCAGTTGTGATGCCTGAGGCACCAGAATGTAACTGCCGCTCCATTTAGGTAGTACGGGAAAATTCGAATAAGAAGCTGGCGAATAGCTGGCTTCAGCTTCGTATCACAGATGCCCCCCCTCCCCCCCCCGCCCCCCACCGGCTGGGCTGACAACAGAGCACTGCTAGTATAGTATAGTATAGTATAGTATAGTAGCCTGTTAATGAAGCAGTGTTCTTTTTTATTTGAGGCTTGTCCAATTTTGTAGGGGAAGATTTCAGCCACTACACCTGTAACTCAGTTCCAAGGGGCAAGGTGAGACTTGAAAACAAGGGGTAGGGGTAAAAATTAGAAATGGGATTGGGCTTTATTCTTTGGTTATTGAAGTGTGTAGTAAAACTTTGAGTTTGCTGGTGTGCCCTGGTCATTTAGGGGTTTAGAAAGAAATCCCAGACTTATCTTGTCCAGCAAACAGTACTATATTTGCGTCATTTTGCATTTAATTACATCATTTTAAAGTTGTTGTGCCAAAGTGCAATTCCTCAACATTATACTTCATGGAAGTTCTGTCTGCTGAGTCATTGATGCCATCACCGCCTTCATAGTATCACCCACACATTTATTTCTCATCTTCATTATCTGGCCTAATATCTTTGCCATGCTTGTGTGATTAGTGCTTCATTTTCCCACAAACACAGACTCATGACATAACCTGTGAAGCAAGTCTGCCGCTGCCACTGAGTCAGTCTTGGGCGAAGCCTGGCGTGCACTAATCCAGGATCTGTTTTCAGCAGCCCCTTTCCCCCCTCTGGACCAACAGGCTGGGAAATCCTCTCCACTCCTACTTCCAGTCACCACTAACAAGCTGTTGTGATGAAGCGCCCACCCACCAACACACGCAGCTGTCTGTGCACAGAGGATATGACAGCATGCTGGATGCATTCAGCCCATGAGAAAATTACTGCACCTTCCCCTCTTGAGGAATGAAAATGAACACATACAGGAATGAACAGAGAACAATTACATAACAGCACAAGCAGTGAGACTGTAAGCAACAGAAAGGAGACACAGTACCAAGCAGTTGTGACTTAGTGATCATTTTAATGATCTAGGATGCCGTGCGAAAGCCAGTAGGTACAGCAATGTCAAAGAATCAATGGCATCAAATAAACACACACACATTAATACTTCAGCATTAAATAATACAGGACATCAACATAAAAAAAAATGAAAACAAAGAAAAGGATCCAGCCTGTTTAAAAATATATGAATAAATATATTACAATAACATAAATATAATATACATATTAGAAGTGCATGATTTTAAAAATTCTCTTGAAAAATGAGAATGCTACACCTTGTGGTTCAATACTGATTCATTGTTAAAATACTGTATATAGTACAAAAAAAGATCATTAGAATGTCAACAGTTATTTCACATAACTGTTATGGAATGCACAAACCCCTTCATAAAATAGCTTAGACTACACAAGCAGCAGCATTTGAACATGACTTGGCTTTACAATCAAAACATATTAACCATGTACTATACAGCATTATCATTTTTATATGATCCAGCTACTATACAGCATACAGTTGCTCGTTTTAAATTGTCCAAGCTGATTTCAGCTCATCAAACAATCCTTTTGAAAACTAAAAGGGTTGTTTAAATGTGCCTGGTTCAACCTGCCTAAAGTACTTATAGAAAGGTCATTAAAGGGCATCAGTGCATGAGGTTCTAATGGCAACGTTCATTGCTTTGCACATGTATTCTCCGAGGCTGAAGCCAGCGTGCCAGATTCTAAGATGCAAAGCATCATTTGTGTGTATACAAAGCAAGGAGCACAGCTAATCCTTCTGTGGGTACATGATGCCAGTGGTGAAGGAGTGCAGGCCTGTGTGCTTTGCGATCCACTCGTTATAGTTGGTGACTTTTGTGTAGACACCTGGTTTCAATTCAGTGGCACACTGATCTCCCCAGCTGATGATTCCAAAGAGGAACATTCGGCCATTCTGTTCATACACTAGAGGGCCTCCTGAGTCTCCCTGCAGAGGTCAAACAGGAATTTGTTAAGTGAGAGGAGAAGTTTTATATAACTTAATAATAATAATAATAATAATAACAATAATAATAATAATAATAATAATAATAACAATAATAATAACTATTATTATGATTGTTGTTGTTATTAGAGCATTGTTAATACTTCCAGTGTCATAACAGTAACTAAAACAGACAGATCTGTGCCAGATTTACCTGACAAGCATCTTCTTTCCAGGTTGGGCTGGCTGCACAGAACATGTTATCAGTGAGCGGAATCTCACTTTTCCCGTAGTAGTCTCTCTCACAAGCAATCTGTGAGATGGCATTTACGTAAGTCTCCTTCAGGTACTGGGAATATATCAACTGAGCTAAAGAAAAGAGAAATTAAAATACAGTGATTAGATGTTCATGCTAATTTACAACATATTAATGATCTATTATATGATTTTATATTTCTTATCTTAGATGAACCCACAGGTGACAATCAAAGAAATGACAGAAAACATAAAAATGGTCCCTTTTACAGCAGCAATGTGCTGGTCAAATATTGCAGCTGTGCTATCTCAATGATTTAATCACTGAGCTTCATTCAAAATACACAGAACAGGTGGCAAAACTCAAAGGACACGCATGCTGAAGTGTATCATCTGATTTAAGATACAATATGAATATTGTTCACAGATGAAGTGAATGATGTGTAATGCACTGAGCATGATACGTGACAGTTCCTTACACGCTACATGAGACTGTCCACAGCATCAAAATGCCACATAGCTGACCAAACTGACTATGTTATCAGTTAAATGAAAAACTCTAAAATACAACTGTATTTTAGATTTATTGTTATACATTCCTCTCATTACATTACTTATCGTCACTGTCAGAACAAAATCTTGTATCTCCAATATATTAACTTTACAGGAAAAGGACAAACATGTTTAATTTGTAATGGAAGTCAACGTTAAAAAAAAATATTTCCAAATAATTAATTAAACTGGATTTTTTTTCCAATTTCTATTAATCCAGTCATTGTGAATTTTTTTAATCCAATTCAAAAGGTAACTTGAGAAAAAACGGAGATGTTACAGAGTAGTTAGGACAATTAAAAAGTGTGTAACACTTACAACTCAATGACACTGTGCCATAGCCAGCAATTTTGCAGGCCGCTCCATAGGGCATCATCTGCTTGGCAGGGGGGAGGCACACAGTCCTCACCGATCTTGTCCTCTGCGCACACTGTCCATTGCTGTTCACTATCTGCAGCAAAGCTGGAAACATTGTGCAGCATCATTAATGACACAGAAATCAGTTCTTCTGTTTGTACACTGTGCAAATAGATTTTTAAAATGAAATCTGTCACGTCTATGCTGATTGTGTTCCTCTAGTGAGTAGTGTATAAACACATATAAACACATACCTATATCATTGTTATAATTCTCGTTTTCATAGCCCTCATGAATCACGAGTTTGGCCACTGTAAATTTCTGCTCTTTGCTGGGGTCTGTCTCATTAATGGCAGTCCTCCCCAGATAGACAGTGTAGTCCTCTTTTCTTTCACTGTTTAAGACAAAGCATGTTTCAGATTGTGCTGCAAAGCCATCATTTTTTGTAAGCTATACATGATTGTAACACTGAATAAAAATTATTATCATAGCCTCACAGCAAAACTTTATGTACATTAACATAATAAGGAGATTTTATTCCAAGTCTTACTGGACCATTTCTACTGATTCATTCCTAATAAATATAAAGGACAGCTAGCATTTTAAACAGTGTGAACAAGTGATGTAAAAAAACAACAAAATGGAGATATGATGATTTGATTTGACGAAATGGAAGCTGTCTTTTAATTTCAGAATTATCACGTACCTGTACAAGAAGCAGTGAGCCGCAGTGAGGACCCAGCAGGGAGCGATAAGCGTTCCTCCACACTGGAAGATCTTTTTTTTTCTGAAAATGGATGCAACCCAAGGCTGAGACTCTATTGGAGACCTGTATCCTCCTATGATCTTAGACAATACGTTTAGAGATTGTTCGCCACATGTAGTTTCTGTAAAAGTAGAACACAGATGCACAAAGCAGCGGGTTACAAACTGAAACTATGACATTTACTGCACATGCTAAACATGTTATTGTAGTAGTTGATAAGCCGATTAAGTCCTTGAATAGCCAGGGCCTGTCGGCAGGCCCAAAGTTTTATTACATACTTCTAAAACATAAGAATAGCTCAGCCAGTTTGCACTTCCTTGTAGTTACTGAATATTAAGCCTTTATATGTAATAATCCTGTGATTAGTAAGGGGTTAAAGGGCCCATATTCTTGAATTGTTATGTATTTTATTTTTCCCCTAGATGTCCACTTATAACATTTGTGTGGTTTATGTACCAAAAACAGTCCTAATTGATTTTTACGTGACCATTTTCAACCTCTCTTCACATTTGGAATTCCACAGGCTGTTTTTGTCACTGTGCCTTTAAAAGAGTATATGTAAATGACCTCTAGTGTGATTGACTGCCCTGTATTTTGCAGATTGGTTTCTGTATATAGATTGTATGGATTTAGTGGTGAGTATCATGTTTTGAAATTTTAAAAATGAAACATCAAATACTTTTATTTCATAAAAATGAGAAAAATATCCATGATTTTTCCATGATATGGGCCCTTTAAGTAATTTAGAATTTCTTACCAGTATCTTGATATGATGCTTCGGGTTCTTCTGGTCTTTGGGCTGTAATAATAATAAACACAAGTAAGGTTCTGACAAATAAAAAGAATAAAAGCAATGTATCATTGTTGTCTGAACAAAACCTTGTATCTACAAAATGGTAACTCTACAGGAGAAAGCAAGAACATCCTAAACTTTGGAAGGAAGTTAATGAAACAAGATATTATTTAAAGTCATTTTGGACCATTTCTATTGGCCAATTCATCATTAACACAATGGAAAGAGCAACCTCGGATTGAAAAAAAGGAAAAAATAAAAAAAATACAAAATTGGAGAGGTGTTTTTCCAAAAGCAATGATATGGAAGCACAAATTCATGAAAGAAAACATAAAAAGAAATGATGATGTAATGAATGTAGTGATAGTTGTCAATTATTTTGGCATGTATACAAATTATGGCCTAAAGCAGACATGTCAACTTGGGGACCTTCCGGGCCAAAGTGCTGCAGAGATTAGCGTTAACCCTCATCTAACACTCTTCAGTTCATGAAGGCCTTGCTAATTAGCTGAAGAGCTTAATTAGGTGTGTTTAATGAGACATTGTGCAAAAGTCTGCAGTGTTTTGGCCTGTTAGGTCTGGAGCTTGACATATGTAGCCTAAAAGCTTGTGACCACAGTTTACAACTCACTTGGCTTTGCTTCACACTGTGGAATATTACAGAATTCCCGAACGATTCGGGTGCCTCTCTTCACCCCGCACCACGGCATGAGGCTGTTATCTGGATTCCTGCAAAGACGGGTGTGTTCCAGTCAGTGATGCACACAAATCACAAATATACAGACAAATTTAGGAACTTCTCCTTATTAAAAACATTCTCACGCAGAAATGAATCATGAAATGACTACACTGATTCTCAGCCATGGGAACCAAACAACTTCCCTCTACTAGTTCCCTCATGCAGATAATAGTTTCAAAAGATAAAAGAAGAAAACCTCTAAAAGCAACATCTCAGCTAACTTAACTAGTAAAACTATCTTCAAACTATTTCTCCAAACTAACATTTGTCTTCATGAAATAAGTTTGGTTACATATGTATAGACCATTCTAGTGAATTAGTTCAAACTGAATTAGTTCAGGCCTTAGATATTTACAAAGATTATATAATGATCTATATAAACCCAAGGCATTAACAGAGAGAGTAATAAGCTAAACATATGCAAAATCATCATTTATAGAGTACTTTCAAGACTCTTTTAAGATCTTCTTGATTTCTTTAACAGAGAAGTGAAAAGATTTAGACTGTGATTGAGTTTAATATTTAAATAATAAAATCTTATTCAAAAATGCTGTTGTACTTTTTCATATGACTATCGAAACATGAAGGATGTTAGTCCCTAGGCGGAGACTTATTTTAGCCACAACCCTGCATTTTAGAGCAGAAGTGAGACTGCATCCCTGTCCCACATGGCCACAATGTGAACAGTTAGATTCCACTGTTTTGAAGTAAATGTGTTCCAAAGTCTGGAAATCAATGTGTAACCTTAAGAATTGTCACCACCAAAACACATTTTTTCTGCAATTCCGCAAATGTTTTGGTGTTTTAATGAAAAAATAATATGATTTTGTGTGTACAACTGTTGAACGCTGTGTTTGCTAGTCATGTACTGGCTAGCATTTTTGCTTAACATTAACTAATACTGTCACTACATTTGTTAAAGTAGCTTCAGTAGTATTATGAATGTTTTTCGTGACAAAATAGAGTGTTTGATCATTTATTTTAATAAAATGAACAGAATTAAGGTATAGGGTCACTCAAAGCAAAAGGATTTAAGTCCAAGTCATTTAACTGTCTGAAATGTGTTTGCACTCTGACTTCAGTAGAATGACCCATCTAACTAAATGATGCTATTTGTAATCTTAAGTTATTTCAGTTAATCTTATTGGGGGAAATGATCTTCTTTCCAAAGGCATTCTGCAGTGCATGCATGCCTCATGCTCAGAGTGAAAGGAATGATCTTGAGGTCCACCTGCAGTAATTATGGCGTCCAAGCCCGCTGGAAGCAACTATTCTTTCGAGCGATCGGATTCTGCTCCATCTGAGACATCTGTTTCCTCTGGCAGTTACTGAGACAGTCCCTCTATACTCCCTCCCATCACTCCCCTCAGTCACACACTCCACAGATTCATCTGCAGGAAAAAAGATCTACATCACCACCCACACGCATACATGCATAATGCAGTCTGAAAGCAATCAGGTTTGTACTGTTCCAGAATCCAGTGATGAGACTGAAACTGTAGACTTACCATAGTCTTCATCACTTACTGAGAGAATCTCATTCTGTCTCCATAACTTGTGTCTCAGTGTGGATGACTGTGGGAGAAAAGAATGAAACCAGACAGAAAAATATAAATGACACTTCTGTAGTTTTGTTTTTGTCTAGACCTATGTTAGGAAGTAAGAATGAACAGTTCTGCTTTTTTTCTTCTTACCGCAGCAAAACAGCATGCTATTAATAATGTCATCACCAGCTGCTTCATCTTGACCGCAAACTGTTGTTTTCCTTATATGGAGTTTCTGAAAAGCAATGTTGTGGAGCAGTGAAAAAATAATATATGCATACAGTTATACACCCTGAGAAGCACACACACATCATCTTTCTATTTATTTAAATATTACTGTAGCTAATCAAATTAAAGCTTGTAAATAAAATTTCTTCATGAGTACCTGCAAAATGTCCCCACACTGTCCTTCATCCAAACAAGTGGGGATTCTAAATGTCTAAAAATCTACTCAACAATTTTTTCTCCATTTCTCCATTCAGTTTCAGAATTTTGAGCTCAGAAAAAGGAAAAAGAACGCACAAACACACACACACACACACACACACACACACACTTGTGTTACTGTCTTTACTGGAATTTCCATTTATTTAAATATTACTGAAGTTAAAGGCCACAATGTCTATAGATAACCCTAACCCTAGTCTTAAACTAAAGAGCACTTAAGACAACTGGCTCAACAAAACTTCTTCATGAGGACCTGCTAAATGCAGTGTTAGAATTTTGAGCCCACAATGAGTAAAACACACACACACAACCACACATACAGACCAACTGAACAGAGAACTACAATTGTTTTTTTTACAACAAATCACATATCCAATAAACAGTAAACAGATATCTTCTATGTCTGATATGAATGAGAAAATGTTCATAATATTTATAAATTTTGAGATTGATGAGTAGATATATTACCTGTATGACACTGTTTGTCAAGATTTAGATATTTTACTTTCTATTTCAAAAGATAGCTCTTTAAAAAGTCAGAATGAGCAATAGCAGTCTGGACAGTTTGGGCTATTACTTAAAACCAAATACTAAAAAAGCTCAATATAATGGTTTAAAATCATAGCACTCCAGTTCTACAATTATGGAATCATCAAAACTATGATTTCTGTGTGTATCATTGTTCGTTTTTGTTTTTTAACACATTTATGCAGTACATTGTCATGGCTAAACTGTATAGACTATTACTAATTCTCTGACTATTTCATGAGGACCTGCCTAATGCCGTGACAGAATTTTGAGACCACAAAGAGTAAAACACACACGCACACACACACACACACACACACACACACACACACACACACACACACACACACACATACACACAGACCCACTGAACACAGAAAGAACTACAATTGTTTTCACAAGATATTACAGAAGTGTTTTTAAGGGCACATGTTTAAATCAAATAGATGACATGAATCCACTTATTAACATCCCTGTGATTTCATTGCTGTGCACTCACAAAAGTCTTCAGTATGAAGTGAAATTGAAACTGAATAAAACTTAGCATTAATGTTAAACAAGCTTACTGTTATATAGTAAATATTTCAGAAATCTTGAATGTGGATTAAATCATAAAAACAATGTTTACCTTTCAGAAATCTGTGCAAAGTCTGTTCTCACAGTTGATATCTTTTGTTATTCTTGCTCTTGTCCTCCTCTGTGATCACCAAAACTCTCCTTTGAGCCCTGTTGGGTCTGAATTGCTGCTCCTGTGCTTTTTATAGCTGTATTGTCCAACCTGATTGGCTGTGAGAGGCGGGCCTACGTAAGACAAAGAAAGGTTTCGTACAATATGAGGAAGGTATATGGGATATTTTCAGAATGTGATGTCATGATTCATGAGATGTGACTCAAGAGCCGTCCTACTTTCAACACACTGAATAAGTGTAAGAGGAAGTGTTCCTAATATGGTATTTGTTTCATCTCTATTATTGACATCTGGTCTCAATACTTCTCTGTATCAAATAAGTGACAGTTTTTGTCACAGAGATTCAATGGAATTCAAGAAATGCCACATAAAAAAGCTACAATCAAGCACAGAGGGCTGGAAAACTGCTTTAAAACACAAACAGCAATGTGTACATATGAGGCGCTACACTAACTCATAAGAAAAGTGGGTCTACAGGGCAAAGGCCCCTAACAAGCCCTACATATCATAGAAACCCATTTTAACAATTGGAGTACTTAAAAACCCAGTAAACAGATATCTTCTATGTCTGTTACTGTGATTTTTGTGCCAAAATATTTCTGTATGTTTAAGATTGGAGGGATTGTCCTGAACACAGGGCAAAGTCACCATGATACTTTGCTTTAAAATGTAGTCTTAGAAAAAAACACTTTTCCAAAAGGGGACAAATTAGATGTTCATTAATATTCATAGACTTAGAACGTGAAGAGTATATATATTATGTGTATGGCACTATTCCTCAAAATTAACCTATTTCAAAAGACAGCTTCACTGAGATGCCAGAATGAGCAATAGCAGCCTGGACAGTTTGGGCTATTGCTTAAAACCAAATACTAAAAAGCTCAATTCAAATTCAAAATCATAGCGCTCCACTCTACAATTACTCAATCATCAAACTATGATTTCTGTGTGTACTGTTTGTTTTTATTTTTTAAATGTATTTATGTAATACATAGTCATGGCTAAGCTGTATAGACTAATACTAATTCTACCTCAGGAAAACAAATTTTATCAACGTAAGTCTGTGTTTTTAATAATATAGGCAAACAAGATTTCTTAACTTATTAATTCATTTTTGTGTGTAATTAAAGAAAATGCTTCAATTCCTATTTGACACTGCAATTCCTATTTGGCACTTACTTTTAATGCATGGCAGCATGACCACACTTCAAACCCATTTTTAAGTACTAGGCCTGCATGTAAAACACCACAAGCAGAGTTTCCATTCCAGCTTCTTAGAATCTGCTTCACAAAAGTAGAAGTGTGCCCACATTTTTTCATGCTGCATCTGCTTTGCTTTACAGTACTCGACACATTCAGCAAAGCAGAACAATGACTAAACTTCTTCAGAGACTCGCTATCCACAGGCTCAATCTTCTGTTTGCTGAAATACCAAACAGCTTTGTAAAAATAAACAAATAAGTGAATATATATCTGACAAAAAATGTGATTAGTAGACTGACACAATCTTATTTGAAGATATATTGAAAATATTTCTTATTATTGGTTCCCCAGTTTAAATGTTTGTTATTAATAATATATTATAATACATTATAATAGTGTTTCTGTTGTTCATAAGCTTATGAATTACTGAAATTAATATATTTCTTTTAAATAAAACATTGACTGGCCTTATTAGTAACACAAGTGGACTTAAGATAAAAGAAATTTCAACTTTTTTTTATCTCATTATTTTTTAAATAAATAATATGAAACAGTGCTCGAGCCACCAAAATCATATGATTATAATAAAAGAGAAATTAATCTTTGGTTTCAGTATAAGACTTATCACTAAAATCAAAATAAATTGAGTAAGGGGGCATGTTTGCCCCCAAGTCCAATTTATTGGACACAAATCAAAATGTTTCAGCCATTGCAGTGGCCTTCATCAGATAAAACATCCACTTTTGTAGAAATCAATTACTCCACAGTCAATTAAAATACAAAAAAATATATAAACACAGCTTTCAAGTATTTTCATACTGATTTAGAGAAACACAGCAAACGTCAGCAAATTGTTACTTCCAGTTCTGAACTGTTAAGGGTACAACATTATGGGCACTGCACACTCATTTTCCTCTTTGCTTTGTCAGCAGTCTCTCTTTAATCACTTAAATAGAAAGGGAGAGACATTTACTGCATCAGCCAAAGCAAATCATATTTTCAGAGAAACAACTGCTGAGGCACCAAAGGTCTTTTCTGTTTTATTCTTCAGTTCTTTCACTTTGAAACTTTGGTGTGAGTTGTTCTTGTTTACAAAGGCAAGACACATCAATCGGCAATGTGGGGATTTTTAGCTCATATTCTGAAGCTCAATGACATCATTGTGCAGACTGTAGGAAACGTGTAGGTGCTTGCAAATACTTCCTCTTCAATGTATCAGAAAACTTCCAGTGTTACATTAAAGAGAGCCCTTTTTCTTTAAGTTATACATCTCCCCTTAAGGTTATAATTACAGAGATGAAATTTAACTGGACAGACACACTGGGCTTGTTAATGGAGTAATAATAATCTTCCTATAGAAAGTTTTGTTTAAAAATGTCAATAATTCATAAAACCTTCCGAGAAAAGAGAACCTGGACCACACACTTGTCAATGAGTCAGAGGGAAATTATATTTATTTTTAGGACTTTCTATTGCAGTGACAAACCTCTAGAACACATTTAGTCCCCCTACACATTACCATTACTTAGTATAGAGAAAGCAAGCGTTGAAAAGCCTTAAGTTACAGCAATATATTTTATCATAGTATTATTGTGTGTGTGTTCAGTTTAAGTGACCAGACGTGTGTTATGTCATCTATCCATCGTTTCTAAGTTGACTTCCTGTCCAGTTTTGGTGTGCCTCTTCAGTGTTCAGTAAAAATGGATAAAACAAGGCATTTGCTATAAAAAGCTTAATCCGACAATGAAAATGATGCCAACAGTAGCCTACATTAAAATAATTCTAACTACTTTCCAGTTTCATCACAGTGTGACTTAAAAAAGGTGAAAAATATTTATTATTAATTGTTCCCCAGTTCAAATGTTTGTAATTAATCCTTCTTATAATAGTGTTCCTGTTGTTCATAAGCTTATGAATTACTGAAATCAATATATTTCTTTAAAATCAGTGGTGGACGAAGCACACAAATCATGTACTTGAGTTAATGTAGAGGTACCCAAGGTAAAATATTACTCCAGTAAAAGTAGACGTCCTCCCTTTAGACCTCCATTTGAACAAACGTACAAAAGTATTTGCCTTCAAATGTACTTAAGTTTTTAAATTAAAAGTACTAAAAGATTAATTATGGCTCCAATGTCCTTTTATCATTTTTGTAACAAGACTCTTGCTTCATTAACTCATTTTAGGAGAAAATACTCCAGTGTCACTCTTGGTAAACCAATCTTTTAATAGAATGTCATTAATTAGTCTGACACTGATGTCTATTAAAATTGTCATAAGCACAAAACACTGAAGGCAAACTATTTCCATTAGGTAGAACCAAGTGGCTCTGAAATAACTTTCTGCAAACAAGCAAAGTTTCGGTTTAAGATTAATTTGCAACTTAGTTACAAGTTTAAGTTTAGTAAAAACTTGCTTTAAACACAGGTTCACAAATGAGTTTTCCTTTACTATATTGCACCTGTAGGTCTCTGTTCATAAACATAAACTAGCAAAAACATATTTACTACAAAATGAAATAGTGTTTGTATAAATTCAGAAAAAAGACACGCCAGTCACGACTGCATATGTGTACATATTTCACATACACTCCCAAAATTTTACGCTGCTGCACTGACGTTGAACCCTATGCTTGCACTGGGTAGGTATGTCCAACAGGTCAAAACAAGCTCAAAACTAAGTGCACACTGTGCCCTGATTGGTGTTCTTGCTTCAGGCTTCTTTTGTTTTGATGTTATGTTTTTTTTACACACATAAGCCAAAAGGAACGACAGATTTCACATAATGTGGTGGAGTAAAAAGTAAGATATTTGACTTTGAAATATAGTGGAGTGAAAGTAAAAAGTCACACAAAATGGAAATACTTCAGTAAAGTACAGATGCACTAAAAAACTACTTAAGTACAGTAACAAATTACATTTACTGTCCACCGTTGTTTAAAATGAAACATTAGTGGGTCTTATGAGTAACACGAGTAGACTTAAGATGAAAGAAATTTCATTGTTTCTTTTCTTTATCTCATGATTTAAAAAAAAAATAATAATATGAAACACTGCATCAGCCAAAGCAAATCATATTTTCAGAGAAACAGTAATAATAATCTTTCTATAGAAATTTTGGCTTAAAAATGTCAATAATTCATAACACCTTCCGAGAAAAGAGAACCTGGACCACACACTTGTCAGTAAGTCTGAGAGAAATTATATTTATTTTTAGGACTTTCTATTGCAGTGACAAACCTCTAGAACTAGAAAGAAATGGATAAAACAAGGCATTTGCTATAAAATGCTTAATCTGACAATGAAAATCATGCCAACAGTAGCCTACATTAAAGTAATTCTAACTACTTCCCAGTTTCATCACAGTGTGACTGTATTCATTTTAAGTGACCAAACATCTTGTCTGTGACATGATGTCATCTTTGTCATCCTGTCTGAGTGGACTTCCTCTCCGCTGTGAAATAGGGTATGGTATAGAAAAAATAGTCTTACAGGGTTAAACTAGGCCTACGTAATAGAAGGTTTTCCCTCTGTACTGATCAATTAGTAGTCACAGACTCAAACATGATCACTAACAACAAAGCATCATAACAAAGACTGGGGAAGACATGGCTTTTAAACCCTTTCCATGCCACAATTAAGCCTGTCACAATTGTTATATAATAATTGTTATTATATAATAATGTCACAACTCACAATTATTAAATTACCTGATCCCAGTTATTTGAGCTGATTGCAATTATTTTACACAGTCATTCATTTTCATAATCATATTTTTACTTCACAACAAAAAGAATATAATTGAGGCTAACTGAGGTCACATTTATAGAGACACGTCTGACAGGTGCTATAACACAGTTAGAGGACAGTGGTTAGTAATGTTTTTTATGTCATGTTTGTTAATAACACCTTTAGATGTTTGTTTATTTGAGCTCAAGTTGTGTCTGTGATGAGGAGCTACTTAGGAGCTAATTAGCGATAATTAGCTAATGTGGTTGCTTTAGGCTTCTACTTAAATAGCTTCATACGATGAACAAAAAAGACAATTAAATGGTTAATAGCTATTATTTATATGTCAACTTATCATCAACCAAGAGTTCATGATCATGACAAAAAAAAAGCCTGGCAAATACTGACAATTTTAACTGCAGAGTAAAGCTAACATTTCACCTCTTTTCACTGATTATTTTTGCTATTTCCAAAACATATCAACCTAGCCTAAACATAAACATATAAATGTATCTTCAACAGAACCAGAAATAGCACCAAAAAGACAGATGTACCAGATGTAAAGGTTTTACTGTAATAAATAAAATGTAGAAAACATTGTTTTGTTGTTTTAATGGATTGTTTTTTATCTGAACTTGTGATTCATAGCTGTTGGCATGTAAAGACAAATTCATTTAGGGATCTTGGGCCTTTAAATGGCATTTTTGCATTTGTTTCTTCAATGAGAACCAATAGATGCTACTAATGTTAAATGTTAAATTTCAGTGGTCAGTTCAGTAACGTATTGATAACTGCTATCAGTATGTTTTCTATACTTTGATAGAGTGGACAGAGATGAAAAGCTTGTCTGTACAACAGCTGCAGAGCTGAACACAGCTGTTGTCTGCATGTGTCTTTAAGAGGTTCTCATGCGAATTCACAGGAATTTGCTGATGTCACTCAACTGTGTAACATCTAATAGCTTGCAGAACTTTACACGGTGGTTGGAGCTAACAAAGCTGGTCAGCCTTTCAAAGGAAAATTCAGAGGAACTACAGATGTGTGTCCTAAACGTTTTTAGTCAATTTTGGTAAATGCACAAAAGCATTTTAGACGCATGTTTAGTCAGAATCAGAGTGCATTTACGTATAACATTACGTATAACATTAACATTTTACGTAAACAGATCTCATTTTCCCCTGAAAGACACAACACTGAAATACAGACTTAAAACAGATAAGAGCTAAAAACATTGTAACAAAGATTTAAACAGATAAGTCAAACAAGGACCTTAACAGCAAGGATAATATATTAGTATTAGAATAGTAGATTTTTTAGTTATGAGAAATCTCACTCAACAATCTCTTCTACACTGATTAGACATTAGAGGACATTTGTGAGAGTCTAAAATGGATAGAGGCCTGTAGAGAGTTTGTGATTTGTATATGATTATTTCCTTTCAACCTTTCAACTCCAGCGATTGGATTTTTGCTGTGTTTGGATCTCATGAGAAAACTGTACATACCAGATGTTTACTAGTAAAACATGGAGAGGAGACCAGCGTCTACTTTCAGTATGTAGAAAGTATTATGACGTTTACCGCTATTAAATGAGACACTAGTTTTGCACAAGTCATGGTGCTTTATTTTCCAGCTGTTGTTGGCCACAGCTACACTGTACATAAGAAGAGTTTCCTTTTTCTAACAGCTCGTTCGCCACACTCCGTGATGGCTCCATGGCCTGCCCTCTACAATAAGAGTCTTTAGCAAATAAACTCAGTGAATAAATGCTAATGAACACTGACCTAAAACTAAATATTTTATGAACACATTACAGTATGTAGAAAGTAATTATGATGACAAAACGTACTGTTGCCAATGCGACCGTGTTAACTCTAGGTCTTTTAATAAGCACCTTATAATACTATATTTCTTTCTCCTCTGCTGACAAGCAATATTTTTAAGTGATTGGCTGTTCGGCCCAAATGTTACGAAGGGGTAGCTAAGTGGTTGCTGCATTCTTCTTTTACTGTTAATTGCAAATGTACTATAAAACAATTTTACAGCTGATGACTTGCAGCTGGAATTCACGAAAAAGAGACCTGAAAAGGACCAGAGGGCCTCCACCAGACTGGTCAGAATGTTGGCCCTGATTAGTTTAAGAGTTGTTTAATTTCTACCCACTTGAAAATAAAATTTCAGTATGGGTAAATGGTCTCCAAAAGGCCAAAGTGGATGAGCAGTCAATGTCCTGAGTCAGCACACCAACCCGTCAACATTCAGTAGCAGGTATGCTACTGTCTATTTGCTGTACAAAAATTAATATTATATGTCCTTCTGCTTTCCCAAAATTAAAGAAGGGTCTTGCATGAATAACTAGAAACATATCTAATATTTGCAGACTCTCTTTTACAGTCATGTCTTTAGTAGAAGGAGTTAAAAATGAAGTGGGTTTAAACTTGTGTATTGTTTCTCCTTTACAGACAGTAAGTCTGAAGTTAGAAGTTTGAGCGTGAGGCTAGAGGTCTTACTTCGATAAGTCAAATGTAGTAAACAAACTGTGTTGTTTTCATGGGCCGGTACTTCTCTGTGCTTGTATTTCACAGCCATTTGCCTATATAGTAACAAGTTGTTTTTGAAAGATGCTGGAACATTAAACTGTATTTTTGTGTTTGTGAATATAGATGAATAGCAATTTTAAATGTTATTGCCTGAGATGCTACAAGCTTAATTAAACATCTGTGGTCAATTCAGAACATGTCCTTTGACATCTACTTTCTTATACAGTGTTGATCTTTGTAGACCTCACCAACCGCCAGAATAAGAGTTAATAGGCATTTAATGAAAACGATTCAGTTGAAGAGAGGAACATGCCAGGGGTGCCCATTCTCAGCTTTCTTCTCTCTTTTTATAGAACATTTGGCTCAGACTGTGGGGAAAAACACTGAAAAAATGGGACAGCAATTGGAAGGGAAGATTATAACATTTGTTAAGAGGCAGATGATGTGCTTCTATCCCTGACTCCAGTATTCCAGACCTTTTTTACTTCTAGGACATTGACTTTCTTCAACTAAAGGCTGAAAGATTTGCTAGTGTGAACAGAGAAAGGAGAGGGTGGTCCCTTCTCAATACAGCTGTTGTTTGAATGTGTCATTGGGAGGTTTTCACACCTGCAAATTTATAGATCTCTTTGTGGAAGATCTAATCTAGCACACGTTTTACTGTGTGCTTGAAACTACAAAACCACACCAGCCTTTCAGAGGATACGATCTGTGCAACACAGAGCAAAAGAAAGCTGTACTGTGTTTCTCACAGACCCTACTGTCCAAAGTGTCCTAAAGGTTTTTGCTAAATCAATAGGAAGCAAGAGGGCGTTTCAGGCACTTGTTTAAAAAAGTTTCATTTATGTGATAACAGACCTCCTCTTACCCCAAAAGACACATTGCAGAAGGGTCTTAAAATGGATAGAAGAGATAAAAATCATGCAACAGTGATTTAAAAAAGAATGATAGTAATATTACAGGAATTTCTACAGGATTCCTATAAGAATCTTATAGTACATCTGGACAATTAAAGTATACTACAGGGTACTACAGTCTCATAGATTACTAATGACAGTACTGCACAAATATTATATGGTGCAAATCTATTATTATAAAAAATTATTATTATAAAACAGGCCGTCAAAAATCTTTTGCTTTCCTATGATACGACTTCATTTTTGTTATTAGGGTTTTTATTAGTCCTAATGTGTAAGAAAGCTTAAACATGTATTTGTTCTACCTCACATTTCAGCAAAGGTAATAAGGTGAAGCAATCCAGCCACAAGACCAGGCCATCATAAGACACCCCATTACCACATACTCCCCCTACAAGAAACAATCAGCACTACAACCTTCTCATTTTTGTTAAAGACCGTTTAAACCTGTGCAATTCCCACAATTTACTGAACGAAGACTCAAACCATTAATAACATGTTATTGTTACCTTTACATCCATATTTGTCCTTGTACAGTGGTGACGAACAAACTCGCCCCAAGTGCACAAATGTTACAACGAATTTAAAATACTGGATGGCAAAACGTTGACCCGCGCTAAGAAGGACAGCCAGAAGTCCTTGAATCTCTGTATTCGAATTCCAGAAGATGGTCAGTTGCAGTGAAACCCTTTTTATACTAACAATAACATTTATTTACTCCCAAAAAATGAAACGTAAAGGAGCCCTAAACCTCCGCCCGAGCCTCCGCAGGCGTGTCAACATGATGGGCGTGTCCCGTGTCTTGTCTTCTAGTTGGGCGTGTTTTCCAGTGGGCGTGTCTTGTCCCGATAGGCACAGATGAATTTGTTCATGTTGCTGATCTGACATCGGCTCAGTTTCTACTATGGCGATGCGGTAAGTTCATGTTTAGCGGAGGGAAGCTGGTCCCTGATCAGCTCCACCGCAGCTCAGCGGTCCGCCTACAGGGCGCCTGCGCGCTGAGCTTGTTTCGATTTCGAGGCTAACGCTAACCAGCTAGTTAGCTGTCTGTTGGGTGTTTATCAACAGCGCTTGTTCTTCAGATCTTTGTAGAGATTCTTTATTTTCAGCCTCGTAATATATTTCTTTGTTTTTCCACCGACTGCCATCTGGCACGGTTTTCGTTTTTTTGCGACAAGCGGGGGTATGAAGTTAATTTTTGTAAGCTAGCTGCGTTGCTAACTGGAGTTACCTAATTGACTGCTGCATCACATCAAGTTGTTTACGTACAGCTGGCTAACGTAGCTAGCTAACTAGTTAGCTATTTAGCAAGGCAATTTTCGCAAGGTTTCGCCATGATGAAATGGATATCGCCGCTTTTCTTTGTAAATTGACATATTCCGTTATCTTCAAATCTCGACATCACATGAGTTTGGTTCCATCAAGCTAGCGACACAGATTGGTGAATTAACCTAAGCTAAGAAAGGGTAAGACAACGTTAGCTTATTTTGGCTAGGTAGCAATGATATCGGGCTTTAGGCTTATTAAAACATAGGTTAGCTTTATTAAGATTAGATTAATTAATTGGTTGTTGGTAGCATCTCAAGGAGATATAAACTGAAAAATACAGTTAATGCCATGTTTGTTGCCATGTATCTTGGACGGTTAACTTAGTCAAATGTAGCCAAAGCTGAAGAATGAGTTAGCTTATGTGTTAGAAAAATATTTTTAACATTAAGTGTTCTTGTAGCTTAAGTACATTCTTAGCCGAATTGTACCTGTTGTAGATGGAGAAACCCCCTTTCAAACAGACTCAAGTTTGTGGACTTTGGACGATGAAGGAGAGGCTTGGAACCGGAGGGTTTGGTCATGTCTATCTGTATCAACATCAGGTGTGGATTTTTAATGCATGTTTCAATACGTGTATGTATTTAGTCACTCAACGCCCCAAAAGCTTTAAAAGCTTTTCCCCAAAAGCTTTAAAATATTGAGATCATCTTACCTGGTAGAGAGAGTGTTTAATGTTTAATGTGATGCTTGCTCTACCATTTAACATGTGATCTTGGTGCTGAGATGCTTTTGGGAAACCCAGTCCTCCAGCCAGTCTGCTTTGTTCCTTTCTTGTGACATTACATTAAACTGTGTATATTATAGTTGTTGATCATCCACTGTGTGGCTGCATTAAGTTTATTTTGTCATTGATGAAATAATTAAAAATGTTTTGTTTCCATTTTGTACAGGAAACGTCTGAGAAAATTGCTGTGAAACTCTGTCGGCTTGAGCTCAATGTTAAAAACAAAGACAGATGGAGTAGGGAGATTCAGATCATGAAAAAGTAAGTTCCTCTGTGAAGAAGAATTTCACTTCTTAATTTACTTATTTAGCTGATTAATTAATGAAGCACATTCCAATATTTGATCAACAATCTTTCTAGATTGAACCACCTTAATGTGGTGACGGCCAGGGACGTACCTGAAGAGATGAAACACATTGCATTGAATGACTTGCCTCTTTTAGCCATGGAGTACTGTTCCAGGGGAGATCTTCGTAAGGTACTCTAAAGCGTTATCTCATTTTGCCTGCCCTGTCTATCGTACTTCAGGTAATTATTTCCTGCTTTGAGGAAGGCATTTGTGTGTTTACTCTCATCTTCTTATTCTTCATTTAATTATAGTTGTTAAGCAAACCTGAAAATTGCTGTGGCTTGAAAGAAAGTGAGGTGCTGTCCTTACTCAACGATGTCGGTAATATATCACCTCTGTAACAACACACTTATGTTTTGCATCTTATTTGAACGTTTAATCTTTCAGTGATGGTGTTCAGCTTTTGAAAGCATTTCTGTATTAACAGGTTCAGGAATTCAGTATCTCCATGCAAACAAAATCATTCACAGAGATTTAAAACCAGAGAATATTGTACTCCAAGACATTAATGGAAAGGTACCAGAATGTTTTTGTGCATATTGTTGATCAGTTTCTTTGTTTCTGTGTGTTCTTTGTAAAACTCTCCTAATTTGAGTAATTTGTGTACCTAGCTGGTCCACAAGATAATAGACCTGGGCTATGCGAAAGATTTGGATCAAGGGAGCCTTTGCACATCGTTTGTGGGCACTCTTCAGTATCTGGTGAGTCTTGTGACTGAATATTGTGGACAAAATGAAGAATTGAGAGTGATATTAAGAATTCAGCATTGCTTAATTGAACAGAAACTGCAGTGATAATAGATGAAGTTTCAATGCCACTTCTGTTCCTAATAAGAAAAGCTGTTGTTGATGTCTGTAACCACAATGTATGGCATGACTGTGACATTTTGGTTGGTTTTCCATTTGTTAAATAAATGACATTCAGAGAAACTGTTGTTTCTGTTTTCTTAAGGCCCCAGAGCTATTTGAGAGCAAACCGTACACAGTCACGTGGACTACTGGAGCTTCGGCACAATGATCTTCGAGTGTAGCTGTGGTTTTCGTCCTTTCTACACAACCTACAGCTGTGCAGTGGTATGTCCAATGGCAACTGAAAGAGCGAATGTGTTACAGTGCCACCTCTGGGAATTAATGGTCCTAAATCTTGATCTTAGTGGTGAATCTCCTATTATAATAACTTTATATATTGTCTGTTAAACAGGCAGGTGACAAATTGACGGGAGTAAAACTAGAATAAAGGAGTGAGAATCATAACTATTGAGGGCTGTCCGATGGCTCCCTATGCTCTACGCTGTGGGCAGCTTTGCTGTATGCTTGGGTCGACACTTGTTAACTCGTAGAGGGCTGATAGGGTCACTGAGACAGATCTATACAAAGTTATGTCTGGCTGGCGGGGCTGTTCTATTGACTTATGGTGGCCCAAAACCTTTCAAAGACACTTTTTGGTATAGTTTTCCTTAAGTTTGTTTTAATCTTTATTAATACACCTACTCACAGCTGCGGAGCTATAATAATCTGAAGCTAGTATGTACTTGTGCCACCGCAAAAATCCACAATTTTGTTTCAAAATGGCATGAAACCTGTCTGAATTTCATGAAAGTGCCAAAATTTGCCAGCATTTTGATTTTTTTTTTTTTCTTTTTGTATCTACCAAAAAGAAGTCACAATCAATATTTTGGATATTGAAGAATATATAAAACATTTAAGTAGAAACTATTTTGTTTAACAAATAAAAAAGGTTCATCGGCTCTACCTGTGAAATTGGCCATTATTATTTCTCATGCACAGTTCCTTCAGGTTTAACCTAGTGACCAGAGCAACAAATATTTTTTTCTTTATTACAAATGGGGG